TCGGACCACTAACAAACTTCTCAAAGTCAAAATCCATAGCGTAACTTATTCACGTAAAGTCACCCCAAAAAAAACAAAAAACAACAACCCTAAATGGGATATGGGAAATGCACCCAAATGACCTAAATCAAACCAAGTTTTATTTATATAGCACATTTAAAAGCGATTTTTGGACGAGCCAAAGTGCTGTACATGTAATAATAAAAGACAATAAATTACAACAGATATATAAAAAACACAGGGAAAACTCCGGAGTCGTGCTCCGCTCTGACTAGAAGGCCAGGGAGAAGAAGTGTGTCTTAAGAGTAGATTTAAAAACCCCTAGGGTCTGGGCCGACCTCACATGGAGGGGCAGAGTGTTCCAGAGCCTAGGGCCAGTTGCTGCGAAGGCTCGGTGCCCTCGGGTTTTGAGCCTGGTCTTGGGCACCATCAGCAACAGCTGGTCAGCAGACCTTAAAGCTCTGGCTGGGGTGTAGCGCTGGAGGAGTTCAGCTATGTAGGCAGGAGCCAGCCCATTTAGGGCTTTAAAAACAAATAAAAGGATTTTTAAATAAATTCGGAACCGAATTGGAAGCCAGTGTAGTGAGGCCAGAATTGGGGTGATGTGTTCACACTTTTTGTGGCCAGTCAGAAGACGTGCAGCTGCGTTTTGGACTAACTGCAGGCGTTTAATTGAGGCCTGGTCCATACCAACGTATAGAGCGTTGCAGTAGTCCAGTCTTGAGGTTACAAAGGTATTAATAACAATTTCTAAGTCTTTAAAAGATAAATACGACTTGGTTTTGGCCAATAGTCTTATTTAAAAAAAAGCAGGACTTGACTATGGTGCTGACTTGCTTGTCGAATTTATAAGTGCTAGTGATGGTCACTCCAAGGTTCATGACAGAGGGGAGGATGTTTTTATTGGGAGCGCCCAGNGCGGTCGCTGCCCCGAAGCCTGCCCACTTTGAGCGCTCCGCGGGAGGAAAGGTCTGACGGTACCAGTAGCGCTCCAGCGAAGCCGCTGCGGAGCCCAAAGAGTTCCTATACATCCCCAGGAGGGCCCTGATACACGTGGACGCATCCAAAGTAGGACTGGCAGGGCCCTGCTCGATGTTGAAGCCATCCAGTAGGCGCACACGCTAGCTGGAGATGAATCCACGAGCTCATACTTGCTTGTAGGATCTGAGTGATGCGAAAAACGGAGCAGAAGATCGTCTCGAGAACAAGTTTATCGAGGAAAATAATTGTACGATTCATTACATGCTGTAGGAGGCCGTCCACACATACCTTAGAGCAGTGGTTCCCAACCTGGGGGGGCGCGCCAAAGATCGCAGGGGGGGTCGCCAGCCTCAGATGATTTGAGGCCAAGGCATCATATTTTTTTTATTTTTTATTATTTTACATATAATGTAAAGCACATACATAGTCACTAAAGCCTTGTCTCTACATTTACAATAAAATATAAAAAAATTGATTAATAATTTGGAATAACAATTCAACGGTTAGTGCTAAGGCATAAAAAAAAACACGAGAACATGTATAATCTTTCTTTAATAGAAATGTTTCTCTCTGCCCGGTAAGTGTCCAAACAGCTTTTCGATAAGCGCATTTTAAAAGCATAGTCATTGTCCATTGCCGGTTTCAGTGTGCGATATTGTCACAGTTGCTCCGATCAGATCAGAACGGGGGGGGGGGGGGCGCAACTTCCAACAGGAGTCATTTGGGGGGTCTCTTGGGAAAAAAGGTTGTGAACCACTGCTTTAAAGGGTCTAAGTTGACTTGTAGACTAAACATCATGGGGCTTAAATATACTTTTACATTTGTATTATGTTTACAATTGAAAGGTACCTGTACGTCTCCACCAACTCCTCCCACCATTGGATCGTCCTCAAGGATCTTCAGCATTTCAATGGTACATGCTGGGTCCAGAACGGTGTCCGAGTCAGACACCTGAAACAGGATACAACAAACACAGAGGGTGCAATCATTCTGAGAATCACACAGACCTAAACATATGCATCCTTTGGCCAAAGGCTGCAGGTGTTTCAGAGCACTGAGTAGTATTTATGCTCAAAATCATGAGTGAAATGAGAGGCTGCTGACAGAGATCCCAGCTGGGTAATTCTAACCACAAGGAACTGGGTCAGCTGTGGACGTGACCTTTGACCCAAAGCAAGGGCACAGAGGGCATGCAACAGCTGGCTGTGTTGTTCATTAGGATTGGAGGGCAAATAGGTTAAACACAATAAGTCAAATGTTTTTAGTTGTCTTGGGTTGCTGTTGTATTATAAACGGGTTTAAGGTGAGTCACAGAAGTTTCAAATATAGTTCTACTTCCTCTTTGATTTAAGATTGTTATTCGCCTTAACATGTAGTTTAAGGTTATTTTGTCTGTGGAGACTCAAGAAAACAGAAAGGCAATGTAAGGAAACGAAAGAATCATTCTGTTTAAGCACACTGCAGTGTTTCTACAGTAACAGTTTTGCTTCAAACACACTGCTTACATTTTGCAAATAATGTCCAGGTTTAAGTCAAAATGTATTCAGAGGAATGGTGATATCTGTTTACACCAGCTAGGAAGCAAGGCCGATATAAATACCAACAATAAACATGAGCACATTTTTTATTCTGCAATCGATGTGGCAAAGGGGCCACATCAATCACATTACGGTCCAATCCTTTTATGTATACTTTGATTGTACATGCATACGTTTTCTGTGTGTGGCCCTTACCTGCACATAATCCACACTGTCCCCCAGTGCTTTAAAGGCTGTGTACATCACCTCTCTTTTGCCCCCCCACTCCTGCATGATGCAGGAGTACCGGCAGCCTCTGACCAGCCGGGCCACCCGTGTAGCCTCCTCCATGTGCACCCTGCTCCTTCCTCCGTCTCCCACTCCTCCTCCTCCCCCATCACTGTGGTAGTTTCCCTTCCACACCATACTGCCAGCTTGGTCAGCCCCACCCATCACCTCCTGGAAAATGTCAATCATGTAGCGGTCTTCTGGCCGGTTCCCGTCCACCACTAGCACCACCTTCAGGCCAGGGAAGGAGATCCGGCGGATGCTGCGCAGGCACTTCCTCAAGTAATCCGGGTCCTCCTGGAAGGCAGCGATGCAGAGGGCAACGGAGCGACGGAGGTGCTGCGGCCGGGCGGGGGTCCTCATCTGCCGGTGCTCTAGGAAGGCAAAGAGGCTCTGGAGGAAGAGATGGAGGGAGAGGAAGGCACCATAGAGGCCGAAAGAGAGGTGGTGCTGCTCAGTGTGGATGAACTGGTAGCCTGAAATACAAATAAAAGACAAGTTAGATTTGCAAGAGCATCCTTTGTTGTGATTCTCATGTACATGTGTCTCTGTATTACTGTCACTCACCTGTGACATAGGCCAGCAGGATGGTGAAGAGGACCACCGCAGCAAAGAGGGTGGTGACCACGATGTTCAGCGCATTCCTGCAGCGAGAGGGCATCTGGGGGAGAGGAGAGGTTGAGGACAGGGTTCGAGTTATAATCTGAGCTTTATGGGGGTCTTTAAAACTAACGTGCGTGTACCCATGCAAACACATACACACACAGTATAAATAATACTCATTACATTGACACATGCATTATTTGTAATTAAATAATGGTTGTTGGTAATGAATTAGCGACCCCCACAGATGTATGATTTCACTGCTTTCATAGGAGCTCAGACCCCTCCTTATGGGAGCTCAGCTTCCATTGGCTCCCACATAACTCGAACCCTGGTTGAGGAGGTGGGGGGGCCACAACAGATGTGAAGGTTAGGATCATGCAATGTGAGGACACATTTTCAGGTTTTGTGGAGTGAAGATGAGGGGGGAATACAGTGAGAGAGGAAGAATAAGAGGATGGTCAAAGAGAGGGTGAAGTGAAGGAGGAGAACACGAGCCAGGCCGGGAAAGAGAGAAATAAAATTGGGCCTGTGTAAACTGTTTGAATCACAGCAGCGATTAAAACAACCTCACTTATTGAATGGATTTTCTCTGTATGCTTTGAAGTGAGCATGTTTAAAGTACATGAAAGCGTGAGCATAAACAGGTCTGTTGTGAGGTGAGACTCAGAGTCTTACTGAAGGTTCTGACAGAGAGAGCTTGTAACTCATTTGTTGACCTAAGTGTCATTTCCTGTTTCCTGTGTGTTCTGTGAAACCTTTCATTGGCCGGCTGCAGTCAGTGACATCATGGAAACATGGTGGCAGAAGAACATGAAACATATAATACCTGCCCAGTGTGCAGTCATTACAGCTACAGTACTATTCTTACTATTCCACTCTTTCTATTACAGGGACTAGTTATTTACAACTTTTAAAAACAGAAGAAGTTAGTTGTTAGTGTTAATCCAAAGTAAAAACTCATATGTACCCTATGCTTATTAAGTAAGTACCCAAAACCTTAAACAACAACAACAACAACACACATTCTGGTACTTCAAGTGTCCTGGTCCAGTGAATAATAGCTGATTAATAATGTACTACCAAACGTATTCATCCGTCTTCACCCAGCCGTCCAGTTTGTTGCTAAGTAATAGTCAAACTTGAATAAATAGTTAAAAAATACCTATACATTTTTAAGTTTGGCGCTCCCTCTCTCCCTCTCTCTGGGTTAATAATTCTAATTAAAGGCCAGTCAGGGTTTGGCCAATGCTTGGTCAAAACTTTGGAGGAACAATTCTTCCCTTTCATTCATGAAATTACCTCCTGCAGCGCACACCCCCTCCTCCCCGTCCACCCCGCCCCCCCTCAGACAGCCTGATATTAATGGAGTTACATTCAGCTCTGAGACGCTGGCACACACACAGTTTTCCTCCTCTGAGGTTCATGTATAGATTTACATCCTGGCTCTGATCACAGGTTCTTCACAGATCTACATTCTGAACAGAGATCCAGAGAAACACTCTGTGTGACACGCAGGTTCTGACAGTGGAATGTAGTCCTCTCTGTTAGCATGTATGATCCTGCTGAGTCAGAGTTCTGTTTCTATTGCCATTGTTGTTCATGTTAATTTTTTCAGAATTATTCTGGAGAAGAACGTCAGATCAAACGCTGACCACAAATCCATCACATAAAAATAGAAGATAAACCTGCATGTTCAGAATATTCAGTGCAATTTCCTGAAATACAATTAATTAAATTAAAATGTTGTTTTTGTTTGCCAAGCTTTTAACAAATGTCTGCAGTTTCCTTGTGTAGCTCAAACATGGAAATATTGTGTTCAATATTATTATATTGTGAATTGTTTTGTATTTAGATATATTATATTATATTGTAGTTTGTATTGTACTTAAATTGTACATATATATAGAATTGAATATGCTTTGAGCTTCTGCTTGAGGTATGATCTATGGTTATGATCTCAGGCAGCATGCCTTAATGTCCGGGTGCCAGATAACAAGCAGACAGTAACATGGACGGTGTGATGGGCCACAGTATGGTATTAGTCATTAGGACAGTGTGTGTTTGTGGGGGGGCCGGGGGGGTTGTCATTTATAAGATGTCTGAATTCCAAGGAAGCATATTTCAATGAACGGTAGATCCAAGAGCTTCCAGTATCTCTCTGTTCAGAAAAGAAGGATTTTTTCTGTCACAGTGCAGCAGAAGTAACATCACCATCAAGGGGCAAGTACTTCTACTCTAATTTAATTAATCAAACTTTGAAAGATCAAAGGAAAAAATAACTTAGCTAATCACCGTAGGATCTTCGGTAGGAACTCAATCTCCCTGGGTAAACGTGGTCAAAATGGCATCTGACTTATTAGGTCCTCGCAGAACTGGTGATATATAAAAGCTGAAGCTGTCACTCTGTATCCCCCCACATATCCAAAATGATTCTGAAGTGATGCTGGTCAAATTCTCCCACCACATATACATGTGTCTATGTCCAGATCCAGATTGGGGTGCAGATAATTACAAGTCCAAATTAAGATCATTATAAAGAGGATGATAGATGTAAATCAAATGTAAAGAAAAGTGTCATTCCAATGCTCCCAGGTTCAAGTATAGTATTCCCATTTCTATCCCAGGAGTTACATTGAAGAAACCCTGCATACTCTGACGCAATGGGCTGGGGGTCCAGGTGAGGAGTCGGGGGTGTGGCTGAGGGACAGTTTGGCTTCAGGACAGGGGCTTTACACAGGGAGGGAGAAGGAGGAAGGGAGGGGAATGGGGAGATATTTCAGGATGGAGCAAGAGAAGGAGTGAGAAGTGTCAGGAAACAGGGCTGCTGTAGACTGTGAGTGCAGGCTTCCCTCAGACCCCCCCCCCCTCCTCCCTCTCCCTGGAACAGTGCTGCTTGGACACAATACATTTGGCATCCTGTGTAACTGTACTGTTGGACACTTTTGGGGGCACATAATATGCATGTATCAATATGCAACCCGTTGTATATTTATTCGGTTTCATCAACAGAGGAGAAAGCATCTGCCTTCAGCGTCTAGCAGCTCTATTTGGCTAACCCTCAGTGAAGGGTTCATCAGCGCAGGTCTTTGCTACAGCTCATTCAGCCTTTTTCATTCTGGTGGAACATATAGTATATGCCATATTTTATACATATCCCTGAAATTCAAGACTAGTTTGTTTTAATATAAAATCTTCTCACACATTCTCTTATGAACCTGTCTTTATGAAGGTAATAAAGTACTAACTTTTAATGTATAAATGTTTAATGTCTCTATGGACGTATGTACCAGAGGGAAGCCAGTTCTGAAGGTGAACAGACTGAGAAGACACGCTCTACATGTTCAGTTTCTATGCATTCACTTGCGCTAGGAAAACTGTGCTAGGAAAACTCTCCTGAAGATGTTGCCACTAGATGGCTCTGTTTTGATGATCTGATCAAATGCTCTTTGCTGAAGAGATGTGTGTACAGTGATGACGGTGATGCAAATGCAACGCAGTTTGTATTTTATCCATTGGAGAATAACTTTATAACTACAGGCTTTGAAATCAGCTGTTATAAGTCATTAGAATCCTTTACATTTTTTGGGCAATTTCTTTTTCTTTTTTTGGACAGTTACAGTAAAGAGGCACACAGGAATTGGACTGAGAAGACAAGACACCCAGCAAAGGTCCAGCTCCAACAACACTGGGTGGTTGTGGTTATGTTTAAATTTGGAGTGTACTCAATGAGACCATCTCTTGTTCCCGTTGATGGGGCTTCAGACTTTAAAGCAAGACTATGTGGCTGTTAGTGAACACTCCCTGTCCACAAGTGGCATTTACAGAATAAAAACACAATTAATTGTCTTTTATTTCCCTTCATTATCTTAGATCATCTGTTTTAAAGATGCATTCATGAGGGTTTATTTGACCACTTTTCAGCAGAACTCAACAAAAAGCTAAAGAAATTGTACATTTGACAGACTTGTGTCTGTGGCAAAATAAAAAAAAAATTGTGTCCATTCGAACACGTGTTTCGAGTGTTCACTCTTTTTTCAGCTCTGGTTTGGTCTCCACTTACTGCCTTGGAAAATGTCTTGCTGTTTAGCTCAAACATCCTCCTTACGTTGGGGGGTGTCGTCTGTCTGCTGCTTGCTGTTGGCCAGGTACAATGGGTTCATCAGAGCTCTGCCATTGAAAACAGCTGCTGCTGGTAACAATGTTCATTTTGAGCAGTGAGGCAGGTGGTATAATAAAAAAATAAATACGTATAAAGCATCACTTTAATATGGCCACGAAGCTCAACATGGCTGAGGGGAAGTTGGGTGATAGTTCAGAATCAGAATACCTTTATTCGTCCCACAGAGGGGACATTTACATTTGTTACAGCAAGTAAAGAGCCAAAGATAGTTTAATATGAATTAAGAAGCATGCATAAAATGTGCAATATAAATAGTTATTGTGAGTTTGTTACCAGGACCTCCCAAATATCTGTCCGACTTCAGAGGGTCAGTTTAAGGTGACCTGACTGAGAACGAGGTAAAGGAAACACGATGAAAATGTTTCCTTTACTTTGAATGTACTGACATGTTCCTCTCTGGCTTACAAAAACACAGTAACAGAGGCACAAAGTCAAAGTCATTAAGTTGACCTCACAAAAACAAGTCAGTTAGACAGCTCTAAAGTTTGCTAACATGAGCTAACATTAGCCACTGAAGCGGCTGGTCTTCCCAGAACAAGTCCCTGAGTGTTCAAATCAGTGAGTGTGAATACATCCTTACCACTGTAGAAGGATGAATATCTTTGTTTCTTCAAAAATAACTAATGCTAGTCTTTGCTTTAATGCCTCATATTATTATGATACCCATCAACTGAATATTATCACCTATTCTTCTGTTTGTCTGGATCAGAGTGTGGGGTAGCTACTTTATAGACCACACCTGAGGTCCCAGCAGGCTTTGTGTGAAAGTCAACCAGAGCAGGCAGGTCCAGTACTGATGCCATGGAAAATCCAAAAGGCGCTCTGAGTGTTCCTGTTTCCTAACAGTCACTGTCTGCCTCCACAGAGGGGAAAGCAGGAGGCAGCACACACACACACCAACACCGCATATCATTTAAATACATATATAGACACACTTAACCCATAACTGAGTCCTTTTACACCTTCCAGGGGAAATGGAAGCAGAAACGAGCAGCAGTTCAGTTCCAGAATTTCTTTAGTTCTGTTCAAGTGATTAGTTGCCTCACATTTATTTGCTCACTTACACGTGCACACACACACACACACACACACACACACACACACACACACACACACACACACACACACACACACACACACACACACACACACACACACACACACACACACACAAACCCCACAAACAAGAACACACTCAAGTCTTTGTGCTTCATTTTCCTACTAAGCTTAATTTTGCTCATTTCAATTTTTATAAAACGTTCCATTCACTTTCATCATAATTGATCTCACTTTTGAGTATTTTCATTGGTTCTCCTTACCTGAACCTTTACACCGACCTGCCAAACCTCAAGTATTACTTCCAAACCTCTTCTGGATCATTGTATAAATTACATTATTACATTACATTGCATTTAGCTGACGCTTTTATCCAAAGCGACTTACAATAAGTGCATTCGACCAAGAAGAAGAAGTTCCTAATACTAAAGCCACATTTACATGTTTAACTCACATGTGAGGACATGTCCTATCTATCTTTCTTTGTGGGGGAATTAACATCTTATGAACAAAGTCTCTCAGAAAGCATATTATTAAAACCCTTACCTTCCTGATCCAGTGGGCCCTCCGTCTTTGGTCTCCCCCCAGATCTCCGTCCGTTGAGCCGGGACGTCCAGCCCTCTACTCTCCTCAGCACAGCGCTCTCCTTGTTCCTCACCCCTCCTTCCACTCGCTCACACTACATCTTTATTCCAGCTTGCTTGCTTAATTCAGGAGATCCCACATCCAAAAATACAGGATGCAGCTTAAACCTCCACCCTCCACCACCTCCCTGAGCCGGCCCCTCGCCGCCTGCTCCTCCTCCTCCTCCTCCCTCTATCTCCCTGGACTGTCCCCGGGCATGGAGCCCCCCAGCTGAGATGTGATCAGAGGTGCTCCAGCAGCAGCTGATGCTGGTGTGTTCCTGCGTCTGTCTGACAGGTGGGGGCTACAGCTGGTGGAGTCTCTGCTCTCAAGATTTCCATCACGAGCACGGGGCCAAAGTGATGGTGAAGCTGAAGGTGAAGAACCCGGGCCAAAATGGGGACACCGATCCTGGCTTCGTACGATTTCTTCCTTGCCCCCTGCAACAAATCCTCCCCAGCCCCCCCCCACCCCTCCCCCGCTGCTCTGCAGTAAGTCGTCTCTGTCCCCTGTTTGCAGCAGAGCTGGATCCTTCACCCCTCTCACACTGTCCTGCCGGCTGGCTGATCAGCACTGCTGAGCCTCTCCTCCACAGCTCCCCTCTGTCTCCTCTCACCCCCCTCCCTCCCTGGATACCCCAGCTAGCTCCCTATCTCTCTGCAATGCAGCCAGCAGCCTCCAACAAGCCGGGGGACTGTTTGACCGGAGCCCCCTCTCCTCTCCACCTCTGAAAGCATCCTTTATGGGCTTATTTATCTATCCCTCCCCCCCTCGCCCTCCCTCTGCGGTGTGAGGCTGAGTTGCTGACGTCCTGTAGGCTGCACAAACTGCAGTACGCCTCCGACAATCACTACATGACCAACAAAACCTCTCAGACACATTTCAATAATATTAGAATAGATAGAACCTAAACACACTCTCAAAGGTGAGCCAGTCCCCAGCTTCAGAGCCTCTCTCACTCCTTCTCTCTCACTCCTTCTCTCTCACTCCTTCTCGCTCAATCCTTCACTCTCACTCCTTCTCTCTCACTCCTTATATCTCACTCCTTCGCTCTCACTCCTTCTCTCTCACTCCTTCTCGCTCACTCCTTCTTGCTCACTCCTTCTCTCTCACTCCTTCTCTCTCACTCCTTGCTGTAGTAGAGCCTCATGGCTTCAGCACTGCCTTCTGTCTCTCACTTGGAAAACGAACTGAAGGTGAACATATTACATATTGCTTTTGGTAACCAAGAGTAAACTTATCGAAATGTAACTAATTTTTTTAAATGTCAACTAATGGAATAGGGAGGGTTTATCCTGCATCACAGTCTGAGCAAGGTGACCCAAATGATCATTACCTTCTTTCTTCCAGTGTTATAACATTTTCTCCTTACACTATTTTGGGGAAATAGAGACATTGCCTAATAATACAAATATGGTGTCTAACCTAAGCTAACAAATGACATGATCAGAGTTTTTGTCCGACAAGTTCCTCTCAAAACCACATGAAACTGGGTTTAGTAGTAGCCTACTCTATGGAAATGTTAATGAGTACAATTGTCTTAGCTTAAATGAAATGGTTAGTTTAAACCACTGTGAATATGTGTCTGTTGTTTTCCATTATAAGAAAGGAGGCAAAAGCTGCAGGTAGTTCAAAGCAAAGCAACTCCTTTTTTATCTCTGTATTCTAATGTTGGGGTGTGTGGGGGGCAGATTCTCGTCATCTCCTCACTGGGGTCCCACAGGGGTCTGTCCTTGGTCCCCTCCTCTTCTCTCTGTACACAAACTCTCATTCACTCTCATGGCTTCTCCTGCCACAGCTACGCAGACGACACACAACTGATTGTGTCTGTCCCCCGGTCTGGAACTCAGGTGGTCGCACCCATCTCTGCTTGTCTGCCTGAAAGCTCTCAGTGGATGTTTGCTCACCACCTGAAGCTCAACCTAAACAAGAATGAACTGCTCTTCATCCCAGATAAGAACTCTCCCATCCATGACCTGTCAATCAACATTGGCACCTCCGTTGACCCTGGACGACTAGCTGAACGTCACTGCTAACATTGTTGCCACATCCCGATCCTGCAGATAAAACCTCTACAACATCAGGAGGATACGTCTCCTACTGTCCCCTACTGTCCCAGGAGGCAACGCAGGTCCTGGTCCAGGATCCGGTCATCTCGCACCTGGACTACTCAACTCCCTCCTGGTCTACCTGCAAATGCCATCAGACCGTTACAGCTGATTCAGAATGCTGCAGCCAGACTGGTCTTCAACCCCCCCCCCAGTTCTCCCACACCAGTTCTCCCACACTACACCTCTCCTCCGCTCCCTCCGCTGGCTGCTAGTGGATGCAAGAATCTGCTTCAAGACACTGGTACTGGCCCACCGAGCTGTGAAGGGAACAGCCTTATATTAACAGCCTTGGGATACATCCAGGCCTTGGTTAAACCATACACTCCAGCACGTGCACTACGCTTGGCACCAGCCAATCGGCTGCTACTACATCTCTGTGAGTGGAACCCAGGTACCACTCAACAACACGCCTGTTTTCTATCCTGGCTCCTAAATGGTGGAAGAGCTCCCCATCAGGACAGCAGAAACTCTGCATATCAAAGCAAAATGAAAACCCTTCTATTTCGACTGTACCTTGGCAATTAAATGATTGCTGGAAAATACATTTTAAAAATAAATATTAGGCACTTTTTGAGTAAATGTTGTCCTTGTAACTAATTCAACAGCACTTATGATTGAAGTGGATATACAGTATCTGCACTTTCCTTGTTGTTTGGGGTTTGAATCTTTATGGTAATGCACTTATTGTAAGTCGCTTTGGACAAAAGCGTCAGCTAAATGATATGTAATGACCTGTTCTCAGCTGGCTTCACTTCCTAAACCAGGGGTAGCTGCTTGGTTTATACAGTATATTTAATTTAATTTATATTTTATTTTTGCTGTTAATTGCAGAAAATAAGGTGAAAACCTCCTAATTAAACACAATGTCAGCTCATATTCAACAAACCTTTGTCCATCCCGGAGGCCACAGACACCCTCTTGACCTTCACAGTAATTATTATTCTGCAGGCACAGTGGGTGGAGCTTGAATTGCTGAAAGGCAAAAATGCTGTGTTAGTAGGCTACCTTCTTTCCTTCTCTAGGGACTTTAACATGGTTTTTAATTAATGCTATCTTTTGGCTGTCAGCACAGAAAATAATGATGTAAAAAACATTGGAGGACGTCTGTTCTGTGCTTCAAAGTGAGCTCAGTTTGTTTAATGGTCTGGCTCTGTATAACACGGCACAATCCAAAAAACAATTATTTATTGTGAATAAACCAAGCCATATACAGTAAAGAAGGAGTGAACGTTTTTTTGTGGTTGTTGCTGACAAAAACTTCTTCAGGGACCTGGTTGGTATTCTGTGTGGATTCCTCAAAACACAAGTCACTCAGGAGTCAAGAACAACAAAGGCAAAATGACAAAGACAGAACCAATCCTCTGAGGATCATTGGGGACTAACGGAACAACGTTTCAAAGAATTACAACTATACAGCCAAGATGTCGTTCTCCATAGCATCTAGTGGGACCTGGACCAAAATAGCGGTACAGTGCCTCACTCCCCAAAAATGAGGCCAGAAAACTAGGAAACGTTGGACAACAGCCACATAGTGTGAGCAACCACTTTAGTATTAAATTACATCACTTTGAAAATAACTGTAAAAACTCACAAACATTTTTTTCAATTGTGTCTTAACACACTTGTGTTCATATTAAAATTGAATAGAGTTTTTTTGGAATCACCCCTCATCAAAACTGAATATTTAGCGACCCCTTGAACATGTGGTTTCAGTGTTAGTGATGGAAAACTACAGTGCAGAAAGATGTTCCCAAGTTTATCTGAAGCCAATACGATTCCGTTTGAAATACTCCTGGAAGATATCCTGTTCACTTGTCTGTGTGAAATCCACCTTTATCTTACACTCACTCGAATTAGGGAAACGAAGGGAATGTTATACCTGAAGGTACTTAAACTGTCCTACGTTTGTTTCTGTGATAATCTTTTTTAATATATCAACCCAGTCTCGAGCTCATTTACTTGATCAAACAGACCCATAATATAATTCATTTTTAGAGGTAAAAACCTTGCTGCAGGTTATTTTTGGTGACTGACAGAAAATACATAAGCCCCAGAGTAAACACAAGTGTGATGTGAGAGCCAGACTGTGGTGGAGGCCTGAATCTGCCACTGTGATGAAGAGCCTGTGTTTCTGCTCCGCCTGCCACAGTGATACCTTGACTCCGCATTTGGGGAAATATTCCTGGGCTGCAAACAAAGCTAACTCTGCTTCAGTTTGCAGGTTGTATGTTGACACAGGGGGACACAGAGAAGGTCATGCCTCTTACACTGTTAACCTATTGCCCAATGAATTTAACAAAAGAAGGAATGTCTCATTCTCTTTCAGCCGACTCTGTTCAAACTCTGCCCGACCCCAGTGCCTTCGTTTGTCTTCTTCTAGTTCACGGATAGTCCAGCTGCAGTCCAGTCCCCACTTCAGGCTATTGTTCTTATGAGCTAAAGAATAAATCATTTTGATCAGAGACAACCTTATGATGGCTGCACCAGTTTTCCGCAGGATCATTTGAGCTTTATTATTTGTTGAGGCTAAATTAGTCCTGTTAACTACAGCAGTATGACCCCAAATAGATTTGGCTGTGATTTAATTGCAATAAACGTATATCAAACAGGTGTCAAAATAACTGCCTACGCTGCGTTCAGACCGGACGCGATGCGATGTTTGGGGGCGGCGCGATTACATGTAAAGTCAATGCAGAGACACGATCAGAAGCGAATTCGCTCCGATGGCGCGCATGAAGCGGTGTTAATCACGCGATTGAGGTGATTGAAGGGGGCCGCGTCAAACGCGAGAGTTCAATTTTTTCAACTCGAGTGTCAAATTCACGTGACGCGTTCTTGCGAAAGCCAATCAGCGGTGAGGATCTCAGCCTGCCGTTACTGACGTTCAACCAGAAAACATCAGCCATTAGCTGTTAGCAGTTAGCACACAGAGATCACAGCTCCTCATATCTGTTCAT